TTCCAATGGCCATCCCGCCCGCCCGCTCACGCCCAGGGCTGCCGGCGGCCGGCCGCGGGGCCGGGCTGGCGGCGGTCACAGCGACGTTCCCGGCATCCCGGCGGCATCCGGGGGGCAGCGCCAACCCCTCCGGGGGCACCGGCGAGGCCGGCGTCGGGCCGCCTGCGAGGAAGAGGAGAGGGGGGAAGCGGTGCCGGCCGCTCGCCCCGCTGGTGCGGCCCGGGGTGGCCTCGGGGGCACCCGCAGCCTCCCCGTGCCCCCCGGGCCAGGGGCGCTGCTCCGAGCGTCCCCCCGGGATTCCAGGCAGAAAAGGGCCCCCCCAGTCCTGCTGACCTTGGCCAGCCCATCTGGGCTGGTGGTAGCCAGAGCAGAGGTGCTGCTCCACGGCCCCCCGCCACCACGAGCTGCGCCCGGTGCCAGGCACACCCTCCCCGCCTCTCTCCCGGGGGAAGATCCCCATTCCCAGCACCCAGCCGGGTCCCCCCAGGCCTGCCCTCGCCCCCCACCACCTGACCACGTCTGCTCCATCCTCCCTCGCCTGCATGCCCCAGCTCCATCCTCTCCCAGCAGCCACCTTAGCCCGGTCACTGCCCATCCCCACAGCGCCCCGACCCCTCCGGTGAGCCGGGCTGCCCCGGGGTACTCACTGCCCAGGCAGGGAGCAGGGCCTGCTCCCGAGCGGCGATGTGGGGGGCTCCGGGCGGTGATGCTGGGGTCCCCGGTGGCCGGCCACACCCCGGAGGCCGCCAAGTCGGGAGCTGGGCTTCGGCAGCGGCGGCCAAGGCTGCTGCGAGCCCGGCGATGGGAGCAGGTCTTTCCCCACCTCCTTCCTCCCCTCCTCCTCCTCGTCCTCCCTTGTCTCTCTCTTTCTCTGTCTCTCTTTTTTTTTTTTCCTCTTTTTTTCCTTAGGGCCAGATACTGACGTGTCGGTGTCTCTTAGCAACTGCCTCCACATCTCTGAGCAACAGGAGAGCGGGATGCGGAGCCGCCGAGCCGGGGAGACAGCGGCGGGCGGAGGTGCCCCCGCCTCAGGGACCCCCTGCCCAGGCCAGGGGACCCACACCCGCGCAGCCCAGGCAGCCGGCAGGGATGGAGCTGGAAGAGGGCTGCATCCTGCTCCCCTGCCCCGATCCCCAGCCCTCCCACACTCATCCCGGCCCCGGGAAGCATCCTCGTGGGATGGGGTGAATCAGGGGTTCCCAGGCACTGAAAACAGAAACAGATGACGTGGTGGCAGAGGGGAGAAACGAGGCAGCCGGGATCCAAGGGGAGCTCTAGGATCCAAAGGGACTGCTGGGATTCAGGGAGCACTGTCACCCTCCTGTGCTCCTGCTGTGCTCACAGCGCTGGAAAATGCCTCAGGTTGACACGGATTATTTTGCTTCACGCAAGCTGAAACATTCCCTTTCCCTTCTCTGTTTGGAGGGACACAGTGGGGTGAGGCACCTGCCCCCTCCCACCTGAGAATGGCGCTTTGGGATCACAGGGATGCCCACGGTTTGCTCCGGGAATGGTGCAACACCATGGCTCCAGCATTTCTAGGAAGGAGGCACTTCCACATCCAACCCGCCCACGTCTAGGGGATCCCTGCTTAATTCTCTCCTGCTGATTTCATGGAGCTGCTCCTTTTTCCAGCTGGCACTGGAGCCCGATGCCGGTGCTGGGGGGCTCTTTGCTCCCCCCATCCCATGGGATGGATCCTCCCTGGTGCGGAGCTGGCAGCCAGACAGCACAGCCGCCTCTCCTGGGGTGGCATTAACCAGCACTGCTCCCAGCTCCCGGAAAGCTCCTGGGAGCTCCTGGAGCGCGGGGCCCGGGCTCCCAGCGGGCTCCAGGAGCCGAGCAGAGCCAGCGGCAGCGCAGACACCTCATTAGCGCTCAGCCCGGAGCCTGGCGGCGCAGCCCTGCCAGCAGCTGTTGGCGCCAAGGTTTTTTTCCACTCCCCCACTGTTCCGGGCTCCACTGGCACCAGAGAAACTGGGAAATGGTCCTGACTGGTGCTGGGCTGCAGCAGATTTTGTGTCCTCCTTGCCCCATCCCCTGTGGAGGTGGCCATGGGGACATGGTGCTGCGGGGCATCATCCCTGAGGAAGCCAAGGGATAGATTCTGCCCTCTGGGGTGGGAAGGAGGCTGGTTGTCCTCCTCACCTTACCCATGAACTCTGTGCCTGATCCCATCCAAAAAGCATTCCTGGGACTAAAGTCCTCTTGGGTGAGCACTGGCTCCGGGACCGAGTGCTCCAAGTACAGCCCCTTTCTGTGGAAGGAGCAGCAGGAGGGCTCCAGGGATTCTGGCTCCATAGATCTACTTTACAGCCAGAGCCTTTTCTGTTTCAATCCATCCCTGCTCCCGTCAATCCATGTGCATTCAGGCTTGGGCAAGGAAGAAGGAAGGAGTGGGATGGGTGCAGCTCTGCAGCTAAGGGGAGGGTTAAAGCTGCCACACTGCCAGATCCCTGGGGAACCATCCCCTCCCTCACTCTTCCCAAATCAACCCAGCTCCTGCTCAAGACAGGCTGTCCCACTGATCCTGCCACAACAGGATCCAGAGCTGAGCCTGGGCTTCCTCTTCCCATTAGAAAAAAAGGGTGAGGAGGCATTAGCCACTGCTTAAATTGTCCAGGGAGATTTTTCCAATGGCAGGAAGAAGATTCTGGCTCAGACTAAGATGAGTGCACAGGAATTGTTGAAGGAAAAGGAATTGCAGATAATTAAGACAGTATAGATAAATACAGTAAATATTAAAAAAAGGGTTACAAGAACATTAGCCCCTCAGTGATTTAAAAACCTGATCTTCCTTAAAGCAATTTCCAAGCTTCTTTGTACAAGGGAATATCCTAAGTGAATAGGAAATGAGGCAGACTAGGAAATGGCTCTGGTTGCAGATTAGTAACTGTGATTTCTGCAAGGCAAAAGCAACAGCCACCAAGGTACGGGGCAGGAGACACACCCAGTGAGAGCTGGACTTGAATAAACAACTTTATTTCTGTACAAAAGTAAGAATAAAAAGTTAAAACTGTCAGTAGAGGGTAAGTAAAACACAGACCCTAGAAACCACCTTGGCTGCCTCGGCTCAGCTCTGCAGGGTGCAGGAGGGGCCGGGCGGGGAGTGCCACACGGCCGAGCTCGTGCGCTTGAAGTAGCGCGGTTTGTTCTTGTAGAAGATGTCCTCCAGCTTGGGGCTGGGGATGGCCCCGAACAGCGCGTCCAGGTCCACGGGGTGGTAGTACTGGTGCACGATGGCCTCCTGGAGCTGCGCCCCTGTGGGAACAATGGGAACAGCACACGGCTGTGCCTCGGGTGGGCCGGCACTTCCCTTCCCCTCTGAGAGCCACCAGCTGTGCAGGAGGGGTGGGACACATCCCACTGCCACCACACCCTGCTTCTCTCCTCAGGAGATGTGCTCCTTTTCCTCTCAGAGGACTCTGGTCTCACCTCAGCCCGTGAGCACTCTCAGAAAGCAGTGCTGATGCCCCCAGCACACAGAGCTGGGAGCTGCCAGAGGTGCATACACTCCTGGATTGCGCTTTGGGATGGCTCCAAGCAAGGCTGGAAAGCTCCAGGGCAGGAGGGAAAGGAAGCCAGCCCAGGGCTGGCACCTACCATCAGCCCAGGCAGGGATGGGCTTCCGAGGGTTGCTCTCATCATCTGTGGAGTCGTCACTGTTCAGATCCAGCCCGTAGCTGTTCTCATTGGCTGGGGGTGATGCTGGTTCTGGAGCACCCTTCAGGGAGCCGAGGCAGGATGTGGAGAGGGATTTCTGAAACCACACAGAGAGCAGTGATGAGCAAGGGGAGCAGCACTTCCATGGCTGGGATGGCCACCAGAGCCCCAAAGTGCCCAAATCCTGAACCAACACAAAACTGTCACTGGGCTCCATGCTTTGACACCTGCTCTTAACACTCCCTCCCATGCCTGTTTTCTGTGGAAAAACGTGGGAAAGGCACACTCTGCATGTCCCAGCACTCAACTCTGCACCTAAACCCTTTGGTTTTCCCTTGCTGTAGCTCTGACACAGCCAGGACGGAGCCCAGAGCAGATTCCCGGCAGAGACAGCGTTGCAGCCCAGTTCCGAGCAGCCTTTCCTGCTCTCTGCCCATGCAAGGCTCCGCATCTGCGGCTGGCACAAGCCTGGCTGCCCAGGGCCGCTCCCAAAGGGACGTCGCCTCAGGACCTGCTGCCCTCCCGTGGCCGCTTCCAGCATCTTTTCCGCCTCCAACCACTTGTTTTTCCATCGGGCTCCCTGTGCCGAGCGCTGCGGTGGCTCCGAGCCGCGGGGGCCAAGTAGCCACAGCAGGCGGGGGCCACCCGAGGGCTGTGCCGGGTTGTGCTGGGGTCAGGGCTCACCTTGACGGCTTTGTTCGGCCGTGTCCCAGGGGCTGCTGGTGGAATGGGTTTTTTCTCCTCCCTCGGCTGCTGCTGACCGTCAGCCTCCTGCAAGACACGGGAATGAAGTCATTCCTCACTCACACAGAACAGATCTGACACAGAGCTGTGTTCTTGGCAGCTCTGGCAACATCCAGCCCTCAGCACCCCCGTGGCTTCTTCTGCACAAATAACCCCAAATCCAAGACTGCCAGATAAAGCCACTCCTGTCTCTGCTCAGGTCCAGCCTGGCTCTTTGGAGCACACACTCACCCTCTCTGCTTGAAGCCAGATATTAAGAGCTGGGAAAAAGGATTCTGGTGGCTCGTATCTTTTCTCCAGCCCAGGCCCAAGAGGCAGCTCTTTGGGACTTTGTTTCCCCTAATAAAGAGAAAAAAAAAGAAAAAAAAAAGCTGCTGAAGTTCCTTTTTGACCCAAACCATTTCTCCTAGAGTTTCCCCTCCTGTGCTGCTCAGCCATTTTCTCCTGCCTGGAAAAGCTTTGCCATACTCATTCTGGCCCTGCTGCTGGCAGCACAGGAAGAATTCAGACCTTAAATTAAATTTATACAGCACAAAAGAATCCAAGTGCCAGGGACTGAGGGAAGGAGTGCAGCAGGAGCCCACACAGGAGGAAGAATTGATCCTGAAGAGGAAGAACCATTTGGGGCATTGATTTTTCACTAATGAAGCAATGAATTTAGGAGTAGAGAGTGAAAGCAAATGTTAGTGTGATATTTCAAGACCAACAACCCTGACTTAAAGCCCAGGTGTTCGTTGTGTGAGTGCAAATCAAGTAACACAGAGCCACGTGGCACCCGAGGTTTGGGGGTCACATCCTTTGGGCACAATGAGGAAATGTGGCAGTAAAACATTAATAAATCTCTAATTTCCACATTGGTTTCAGGATCAGTGAATGCTCTTTGAGGTGTTCTTCCAAGTGCCATTTCATGATTGTCACCATACCAGGACAGGGCTGAGGCTCACCTGTGAGCCAGGGAACCCCCAGCCCTTGGCTTGCTCCTGCACAGCACCTCTGTACAATAACCATCATCAGCTTTATTGCATGTGATCCTCTAAACAACATCCCAGCAACACAGCACTTGGAAAACACCTGATCCTGAGCCCAGCCTGTGTGCTGCATGTAGAGAGGCTGCTCCCAGAACACTCCAACCCCACCTTGGTGGCCTTGCCAGCCAATGCTGTTGGCTCCTGCTGTGCTTGGGGGGGTTTCTCCTTCCCTCGCTGCTTGGGATACCTGGGAGAAAAGAAAGAATTTAGAGAGGGAAGCATGTCTATCTGTCCGTCCCCTCTCACAGCCTCCTGCTCCTGCCCCCAACCTCCAGGCAGCCCCAGAGCCCAGGTGCAACATCACATTTACATCCACTGCTTCCCCAAGGCTGTGGCAAATTCCCTCCTCCAGAACAGGCACCAGCTCGCACCTCTCCTTCGCTTGTCCCAGCTGTTTCTGCTCCAGAAGGTTCTTCAGTTCCAAAACTGTTTTCCCTCTTTCCTTCACTTCATCCTCTCTTCTTTTCTGCAGTGGTTCTTGCTGCTCATTTTCCTCCTGAAGAAACAAGATGAAAACCCTGCAAGGCTCCAGCAGCTGGAATGTTTCTCCCTTGTGCCCCAACCCCACATCAGCTGCCTGGACAGAGATCTGGCAGCCCAGACCCCAAAATCCCTGCAGAAGCAGGCAGTGACCTGTCCCTATCCCACCAGTCACACCAATACAGCAGGTCCCTGCTGTCCCTGTCCTTTTCCATGTGCAGGAGGGTCCTGAGTTGTTCTTACCTCTCTCAGGGATTTCTGCTTCCGTGCCTCAGCTTCCCCATGTTTCTTGGACCCTTTCCTCTTGCTCCGCTCCTCTGCCACCTTCTCTTCCCTCACCTGTGAGATGTGCAATGGGGAAAGCCACACCTGTCAGCTCCACTGCTCCAAGGACACACTTCACAGCCTTGGAGGGAGGTCTGGAGCTTGGGATATCCCAGATCCTAAGGAGACTGAGGACCCAGCAGTGGGTGTGCATTTGTCCACTTAGGGTTTGGGAAGGGTTGAAAGGAACATGACTCCTTTTTTTCCAAAGCTGACCTTTCCAGAGGTCCCTTCAGTCCAGCCCAAAATGAGCAGCCAGGCCTCACCCAGAGGCTGCTCAGGCTCTGGGTCCTCAGGGCACAGCTCCCTCAGCCCTTCACAGCCATAACAGAGCAGCCTGCCCTCCCAAAGAAGGCCAGGTCAGGCTCTGAAACCCAAACCTGACCCAAATGCACCCCCTACTACTGAGTCACACACTCCAGGCCAAGCACAAGGTGTGGCTGTCACCTGCAGGGCTGTGCCCAGGGCAGGCAGGGGCTGCCACATTCCCTGAACACAGAGCAGCATGAACAGGGCCTGTCCCAACAAGAATGCGCAGAGGGATGGAGAACAAAAGCCTCCCTTTGTCAGAAGGAATTCTGGCATGCATGGAGCTTGCCATGCTCACAGCTCCTGGAGAGGCCCAAAGCCCACTGCTCACAGCTCCTGGTCTCACAGCTCCTGGAGAGGCCCAAAGCCCACTCAGCCTTCTCACCTTCTCATCACTCTGCAGGATCTTCTGCTCCACCCGCTTTTTCTTCTTTTCCTCCATCTGTTCTGCACGCTCTCGAGCCTGCAGGGCCTTCCTCAGGCGCTCTTCCCTCTTCCTGGGCAGCGTGGGCAAGAGGGGCCCGTCAGCCCTGCCTGCTCCCAAAGTGCTCATTCCAGGTGGGAAGCACAAGACAAGTCTGTGCTGACCAAGGAAAGAGCAGGGGGAAAGGAGCCTAACTCACTGCTTCATTTCTGCCTGACGCTGTCTCTTCTCCTCCTCCACTTTCTTCTTCCTCTGTTCCTCAGCCTCCTGCTTCTTCCGGAGGTTCTCCAGCCTCTGCCTCTCCTTCTCCTGAAGGAAGAAGAGCTCAGACTGTACCAGGTGCTGGGGGCTGTGTCTCCCCTCAGGCAGCCTGGTACACACAGTCACTGTTGGAGTCATTCATCTGGACACCGGGATGGGGAGACAATGCATATTTGGCAACAGGGATTATCCAGTGCAAGCAGTACAGAAGGAAAAATCTCAGTCCTTCAGCTGCAGAGAATAGCTTTAGAAAAAAACAGCACACCCCTGCTGTAGGTGACCACCTGTCCCAGGAGCCAGGAAAAATGGTGCAGAGGAAGCAGAGTGCAGCCTGGCTCAGAGGCCAGAAGCTCCCAGCAGTGCCCAATCCCAGCAGAATACACCTGCACAGAGATCCTGTCACCTCACCGCTGGTGTGGCCACAGGGCTGATGGACATCGGCACAAGGGGAGAGTGTGGTCAGCGTGTCAGCCCCACAGATAAGGTGTCATACTTACAACAAAGTCTCCCTGCAGAGAAAGGGCATAAGAAACACAATTAAAGGTTTGGCAGTAACACCAGAATTCCCCTTCCCAGCACATGCAGCCCGTTCTCCTCCCACCCCTCAGACATGACGCACCTTCAGGTGGGACCGGGTGGGAGTGTTACGCTTGATGAAGTCCTTGATGCCACCCCCTTGTCCCTGCAGGAAGTTCTTCAGTGGCCTGACAGCCTGAGGGGAGAGAGGGAGGGAGATCAGGGCCTGCCTGGGACAGGGGGCACAGGGCTGTGGCACCACTGACCTTGCTGGCCGGAGAGGGGGTTGACGGAGCCTGGTTTGCCAAAGACTTGTGCTTCTCATCCAAAGGGGAAAGGACCTTGCCCCCCGTCTGCTGCCCGTGCCACAGGACACCCAGGGCTTGCTTGCAGCCTTTCATCCTGGTGGCATCAGCAGGAGGGACATGAAGTGGCTGTCACACTCTCCAGAGGGATTTACTGGCTATTACATCTTTCTCCCAAAACCTCCCCAGCAACACACAGTGAGGAGACACATCAGGTATTCCAGGAGTCAGGTCATGTATTCCAGACACTCACACAGACAAAAATAACCAGGTCAGTCACTTGCACCCCAAGAGCCCTTGAAGTCACCTCCCAGCTCTGAGTGAACTGTGCTAGGGCACCTCTGCTGGTTTGTGCAGGACCTCGGGTGCTCCTCCCCAGTCCCAGACCCAAAGAAGGCTCCAAAAGCCACAAGGGACTTCCAAGACACAGGATCTGGCCAAAGAAGATTTCAGAGCTACTGGAATTTGGGAGAGGAAGGCAGGGAACGAACCCCCCTCACCCCTTTTTTAGCACAAATAACTTAAAATGCTAAACCCAAGACCTTCCAGACCCCTGGCTCATCCCTGCCCCTTGCAGGGTCTCCTACCAGATGCGGGAGGAGCTCTCCAGGGGTTTGGCACAGTGGGGTTGTTCCTGGCTCTTCTGGGGCTCACTGCTGGGATTTACATGGCTTCCTGTGGAGAAACCTGCAGTCAGTGCCATGTGTGAGGCATCCAACTCCCTGCAGGGACTCCTTCCTCCATTCCAGCTCCAGCTGCTTGTCACATCCTCCAGATCGCAGGGAACAAAAAATCCCCACAACTCCTTCTTGCTCAGAGGCACAGAAAATAATCAGGACCTCTAAATCTTCACATAATGCAACCCCAGAGGGAAAGAACATGACACTCTGCAAGACTCCAGCTCCAGGAGCGCCTTCCCAAATGTCCCCACTCACTCATTGTACAGACTGAAGCTGGACAGGGCAGGGTTTGTCTCACATCTTGGACACATTCACATGTCCTTGCCCACCTAACTGATGTCTCACCTCTTCAGGAGGTCCAAACTTGACCTGGAAAACTTCCTTGACTGGTCAGAAGTGGTTCAGTTTCAACACAAACCCCTTATTTCCCAGGAATGCTCCCTCTGACCCCGAGGTCTGTGTGTTCTCAGGGTTTCATGCAAGGAAAGCAAGACCACCTGGAAGTTACCTGCAGCATTCCCTGCCTGCTCCTCCAGAGGGGACAGGTACTGTGCAGGAGGGCTGGCAGCTCGGGGACTTGTGCTTGGAACAAGGACATCTCCAGGAGCCTGCAGGGAAAGGGGACAAGCATTCCCTTAGCACAGCTGCTCCAAAGAACGAGGCTACCAGGGACCTGCTGCCCTGGAAAAGCGAGCTGCTTGCTCAGGTGGGATCTGCTTCCCTCCCAGTGGGGGCTGTGCTGGCTGGTTTTGGGACACTGGCCACATCCCTGCATCCAGTGACAGCCTCAGCAAAGGTGCTGACTCAGCAAGAGGGCATCCACACAGTCTGGGGTTGTTCCTTGGAACTCACCTTCTCCCTCGGGGAATTTGGCTCCAGCTCAGGCCTGTGAAGGAAAAGCTGTTTTAATAATTTAAATTCTCTCTGAAGGCGAGTTACAGGTGATGGAAGCAGCATATGGGACTCCAAGTAAGGTGCAGGCTCCTAAGCAGATCCAGAGGCTGTTCCAGCCAGGTACATCAAGGCTGGGCTGTAAATTCCTCTGAGGGACTGTCCCACTGTGCTGCTGAATGCCCCATAACCACCTTGGGCCCCAGTAGCAGGAAAGGAGGGGACTCTGACAACCCTGGGCTGTCCCTTCCCCAGAGCAGACCTGACTGGCCACCAGCATTGCCAGGCTAGTGGCAGCCAGGAATTCCAGGAACCCCAGGACACACCACCAACCACCCCAGTGAAGGACTTAGTCTCACTGTGCCTGAACAGCACAACCTGAAATCTCATCCAGCCCCAGTGACAGCAACACCTGAGCAGTCTCTGACAAAATCTGTGACAGAAAAGCCACCCCAGAGTGTCCTCACAGGGAATGCTGGGATCCCTTCCCACCTGCCTTAGATGGCAGCCTCACCTTGTGCTGCTGGTCACATCTTCTTCCACAAAGGCCTCCAAGGAGCTCTGACCTGGAGAGGAAAGCCCAAGTGGAGCTGGGGATTTCACTCCCAAGCTCCCAACAGCCACAGGGTGCACATGGAAGAGCTCAGGCTTCCTCCCAGGAGCATGGAGTGCTCTGCTTTCCCCACCAGCACCACACCTCCCTCAAGTGCCACTGAATCTGGAGTGGGCTGGGGAGGCAGAGCACTGAGGCAGAGCTCTGCTGCCTGCAGCCTGCTCCAGCTGCCTGTGTCACTGCCAGCATTCCCAGGCCATTGGCTGCAGCTCCTGCCTCCCTGCACGCTCTGGTGCAGGGATCCAGGGGGTTTGGGCTGGTTCCAGGCTCATTCCACCCCCCCATCACACCCCTTCGCTCCAAGTGTTATAACAAATGCCTGGATACAGCGTGACTCAAGGCTGACAAAGCTGAATTCCAGAGGCCTCCATGCTCCACCACAGCCCGTTTGCCTGCAGCAGCAATGGCTTTGGAAAGCCCAAACAGCCAAACCCTGTCAGGAGCAGCAGGAATAGCTGATACAAGGGATTTGGAGCTAACGGGAATAGCCTGGGCTCCATGACCCCTGCCCCTCTGGTGACACAGCTAGTTTGAGTCTCTTCTATCCTTGCCCAAAAAGCATTTGAGCTCCTCTGCCCATTGCAGCCTAACTTCAGGGCTGCACTTTCAGCCTTATTGATTTTTTGGAGGGCTGGCAGATGCCATAAATTAAAGCCCTTCCCCGGGGAATGCAGCAGTCTCTCCCGATCCAGAGGCACACGTGGCTGGAACCAGCCTGGCCACGCTCTCCCTTCCACAATTGTGCTTTTTACCCAATCCCAATCTGTGTACCCCAACTCCACCTGCCTCCCAGCCTTCCCCTGCTGCCTTGAAGCTGCACCTCTGGAGCCCACAAGGACAAGGAGACTTGGGGGAGCTGGAGGCAGGGATGAGCCACTCCATTCCCACATGGAAGCAGTGCAGGGACTCACAGCTCACTCTGCTGGAGGCCGAGGAGGATTCTCGTGCTGCTGCCTTCCTGGCCCTGCTGATGGATCTCCGGATCATGTTCTCCCTCCTGCTGGCCAGGGAGCACTTTTCTGCCAGGGAAGCCCTATGGCTCTTGCGGGGGGCGCCCAGCCCGCTCCGGCGGCGCATCCTGGATTTCTGTGCTGCACTTTTACTGGGAGAGTCCTGGAAGAGCAGGGCCTCGAGGCCTCGAGGAGATGCATCTCCTTGGAGTGCAGCAGGGTCACCATTCTGAGCAGCCTTGGGAGTGGAGGTGCTGGCTCTCCTGGGGTCCTGCTCCCCATCCCTTCCTGGCTGTTCAGCCAGGAGCACAGGGGCCTCCTGGAGCTCATCTGCTGCATCCACCTCAGGCAGCTGCTCCCCCAAAACTGCTGGAAAGGCTGCATCACCCCCAGCAGCACCCTGGGGACACTCCTGGCAATCCAGATGTGATTCCTCAGGCTGCCTCCCGGGCAGAGCGGGGCGCTGGGGTGCGATGGCAGCCTGAGATCCTGGAGCACAGCTGGGCACAGACACATCCTGCCCCTCACAGCCAGGGCTCAGGGGCTGCTCCTGCCTCAGGCACTGCTGGGAGCTCAGGCTGGAAGACTGCAGCTTGACACCACTCCTCCTTCTGGATAACCTTAAGGGAAAAGAATTTTGAAGGGAACGATGAAGGAGTTGTTTGCTCCCAGATAAGTTGCAGAGGGAAAAGCAGAAGGGGTAAAAGTGAAGCTGCTGCTCCCTCTCCACTCCACCATTGCCTCTCACAGCCCATCCTGTCCCTGGGGAGAGGCACACGGACACAGCTCAGCTGGGAGCTCACACACAAGGGCTGTGCCACACAGGCAGAGCGAGGTGTGCAGAAATGGCAGAGGGAAAGGTGTATTCAGCCCTGCATCAAGAGCTGGGTTTAAACCCTGCCCTGGGAGCAGCATGTGGCAGAGGACAGCACCTACAGAGGGACACGCAACGTGTCCCCTTCCTGCTGACAGGCCTGGCTGCATCAGCAGCTCTTCCCAAACCAAGTTTAAATGAGGGAAAACACCAGCAGGAGTTGGCTGGGCTGCTCCCCTGGAGAAGGGATGACCTGAGCACCCAGAGCAGGGCCCAGAGCTCTCCCTGCTCCCATCTGCAGTGCTGCTTTTCCTGCTCTCCCTGCACACACTCAAACCTCCCACGCTCCCGCTATTCCTGCTGCTCTCCCCACTCTCCATGTCTGCTTCCTGACAGTCTCCCACCTCTAACTCTTCCTCCTGTGGGCTTCTCACCACAGTTAGCACGATTCCAGTGCCCTAAAACACCAATGGATCAGGCTTGGGCAGCTTTAAAAGTGGCGTGGGCTCTCAGCAAATCACTTGGATTTTCCACTTCAGTCCCTCCACAAACCCTTGGAGCCTCCCTGCCTGCCAACTCAGACATGGTGCTGGGAACACATCCCTTTCCCAAGTTTTCCAGGCACTGACACAGAGGCTTGGGGAGTGAACACCGAGAGCAGCAACCTCAGACCAAAACACAAACCCAGTGAGACAAAACCCAAAAGTAATCAGACAAGAAAATAAAGTGTTTATTATTATTTAACTACAACCAGGAAAAAAAAAAAGTGAAGGAAAGCAGCCAACTTTATTCCAAACTCTCGCCAGAATCAAACAGTGAGCAACCCCAATGTGATATCCCTGTGATAACTCAGGGAATGCAGGCACTGTTTTATTTCATCCAAACACCGTGAGGCAGAGCCAGAGCAAGCTGACCCACCTACCTCCTCCTGCTCAGCTCCTTGTTTTCCTCCCTCATCCAGGACGACTGCCTTTTTCTGAGCTTCCTCCTCTGCGACGGCGTTTTGGGCAAGAGCATGGGCTCATCCCTGAAGCTGCTGCGAGGCAAGAGGCAGAGCACAGATCGCTTCCCCCAGCGCCCACATCAGCCCTCCCAAGCGCACCCACACGCTCCCCTCAGGGCAGCCCCTACCTCTTGAGCATCCTCATGCCCTGCTCCTCCACCTCCCGCAGCCAGGCCAGGTGCTTGTGCCGGGCGTCCGAGAGGAAGCGGGACAGCCTCTGCCCGCACACCTCCAGCAGCTGCTGCGGCCCCTCCGCCATCGCCTCGCCTGCAACACACAGCGGGAGCACAGGGCTGGGGGCAGCCGGGACACCCTCAGCGCGGGAAACAGACAAAGGCACCGGGGGAATACGCACACAGGCCGGGGCAGAGGTGTGGGGGAACCCCTCAGAGCACCCGAGCGGAGCCGCCGCTCCCGCCGCCGCCTCGCCCGCTCACCACACCCTCACAGCACAGCCCGGCCCGGCCCGCCCCGAGGTTATGCCCGGCCTCCGCCAATCACAGCGCACGCCTCTCAATCTCCGGAGTTTAATTGGTTGATTTGCCCGTCCGTCACTCTCAGCTATTAAAGGGAGCGGCCTGCGGCCCCGCCTCCTCAAGCCCCGCCTCCTGAGCCGAGTCCTCCAGGAGCGTAGAGACGGGCGTGCAGAGCGGCGCGGAGAGCGAGCCCTTCCCTCGGCAGCCAATGGGAAGGGCGGGCCGCGGGGGGGCGGCAGGCGGTGATTGGCTGCGGCGGGGGGGCGGCAGGCGGTGATTGGCTGCGGCGGGGGGGCGGGGCCGCGTTTGAACGGCGTGCCGCGCGCGCGCGGCCGTTGGCGCTGGAGCGATGGCGGCGAAGGCGGCCGCGGCGGCGATGGGGCCTGCGGCGGCCGCGGCGCGCACCATGGAGCTGCCCGCAGAGGGCGACCGGCGCCTGGCCCAGTTCCTGCGGCAGGTGGACGAGACCGACATGGTGTGGCTGGATGAGATCTATGAGGAGGCCGTCAAGATGTTTGTCAGGTACGCGCAGCCCGCTCCCCGCCAGGCCCCGGCCCCTACCGGCCGCCCTTCGCGCTGGCCCTGCCTTGATCTCCCCTTCCTCTCTAGCAACTACAGCGAGGAGCTCGAGCTGATGCCCAAGACGCCGTCGCAGAAGAAACGGCAGCGGAGGAAGCGGCTGTCGGCCTTACAGGAAGAGCAGGAGTCCGGCAGGAAGCGGTGAGGGGCGGCGGGAGCGGGGATCGGGGGGCGCGGGGGTGTCCTCGGGGCCTGGAGAAGGGAGGGAGCCCGTGCGAGGCTGAACAGACCTGCTGCCAAGGGTTCAGGGAAACAATGCCCTCCACGGAGCATGTCCTGGGGATGCCCTGCTTTGTCCAGGGGGAGTTCCCCTTCCTTCATCCCGCTGGTGTTAAAGGTCTGGTCTGCCCCTGTGTCTGGGGCACTCTTGGGCGAAGAACACTGGGTTTTAATTCTCACGAGAAGTGCTTTTATTGTTGCCCGGTTCTATGTCCCCGTGTCTGTCTATTGCCTTTCTGCTCAAAGCCGTTGCATCCCCTGATTGCTGTCTGCATTAGCTGCCCTGTGCAGCTCTGTCTCCTGGGCCCATCCCGGGCGTTCTGGCTCCATGCCTGTGTGTGCACGGAGGGACTCGGGGCTGCTCCCAGCTCCTGTTTCCCATCTCACCCACTGTTCTGTGACCAGCCTCTCCAGGAGGAGGAACGGCAGCAGCAGACCTTCTGTGCGGTCTTCTCAGCGACTCAAGAGCAAAGAGAACCTGGAACTGAGCAGGGCCGAGGCCAAGGAAGAGTCTCCGCCGCAGCGGGTGACACGATCCCGGGCTGCAGCCTCTGCCACAAGCTCCAGGGTGGTTCCTGAGACCACTACTGCCCTGCAGGCAGCAGGGAAGGACCCCTGGGTGCAAGCTGACCACGTTGGTGCTGCAGGGCCTCTCCGGAGGAGCGGAGCAAAGCCGGCAGAGCTGCTCCCCACGAGCTCAGGGAACGGCTTTCCCAAGGAACACGGTGCTCCCAAATCGCCCCTGGTGCCCACAGCCCCCGAGCTGGCGGTGCCCTGTACTCCCGAGGCCGTGCCCGAGCCACACACAGCGAGGGCAGCCAATGTCACCATCATCCTGAGCCCAGGGGCTGGACTGAAGGAGGGGGATGGCTCCCCACGGGAACACAGCGGGGCTCAGGAGCCCTTGCAGCCCCTGAGCAGCAGCCCGGGGACTCCGACCAGCTCCAGGCTCAGCCGCCGCTCCGTGCGCCGGAGCCTGATGGGGAAAACCTCCCTGAGGCGCAGAACCTCCCTGGCAGAGAAGTACTCCCTGGCCAGCAAGAGGGAGAGCATGATCCGGGCATCCACCGCCAGGGCAGCGGGCAAGAAGAGGGCGACTCGGAAGAGATCCGTGTCCTGCAGCTCTGTGGATGGTGAGTTCGGGTGTCACGGGGGGGATTCTGCTTTCTGGGTCTTCAGTGTGGGGTGGTAGCTGAGCTTCCTGGGCTAGGCAGGATGCAGTTCCTCATGGAAGTCCTCCCTGGCTTTCTGGAGGCCCCTGTGAGCATAGAAACCCAGAATTCAGCCTTGTAAATCACCTGGGAGATCAGCCTCAGTGTCTCCATTCCAATGTAGCTTTAATAATTGCTGATTTGCTGTGAGAAGTGGTTAATCCTGGAATGCCAGGATGGTTTGGGTTAGAAAGACCTTAAAGATTACCCAGGTCACTCCAAGCCCCATCCGACCTGGCCTTGGATGCTTCCAGAGATGGGGCAGACAGCTCCTCAGCTCTGCTGGTCTTCCCATTTCTGTGGGGGACAGCTAGCAAAGCTGAGAAGGATTTGGGGAGCCAAAAGGGGTGATGGATTCTCCTAAAGCCCTGCCTGTTTCCTGCAAGTGAAATTCCCACCAGTTCCCTTCTCCTTAGCAGGATCTGGCTGCTGGGTCTAGAGTTTGTTTGAGAAGGGAATTTTGAGGCTGGGCTTTGTAGATTAAAAGTCTCCCACAATTTTACAGTTGGTGGCAGAGACAGATTTAGGCTAGGACAGTCTGATCTAAACTGCTGGAATTATTAAACAGTCTAGAGAGAGACTCTTCATCAGGAACTGGAGTGATATAATAAGGGGAAACAGGTTCAAACTGAAATAGGGGAAATTTAGATGGGATGTATAGAAGGAATTCCTCTGTTTGAGGGAGATGAGGTCCTGGCATGTGTTGATGGAGAAGCTGTGGCTGCCCCACCCCTGGAAGTGTCCAAGGCCAGGTTGGACAGGGCTTGGAGGAACCTGGGCTAGTGCAAGGTGTCCCTGTTCAAGGCAGGGGATGGGACTGGGTGAGCTTTAAGGTCCCTTCCTACCCCAACCAGTCTCTGATTGTTTGGTTCTGTGGTTATTCATGGCAGGGTCTGGCTGTGACAGAGCTCCCGAGCTCTGGCAGCAGAGCCAGCTGGAATGCTGGCTTGGGAAGCAGCATTCCCCCTGTAAATAAGACTGGCTGTAGCTGCTCTTGATGTCCAGTCAGGTCCCTGCAGATAAGCCCAAGGATCATCAATGCCAGCTCGTGGAATATCACCCTGAACTCATCCATAATTGAAAACTGCTTTCCTGCACTGGAACTGCTGGCCATGTTCCTGCAGTGCCACCAGGGTGTGCAGCTGTGCCCCACCCTGCCCCAGGGCAGGACAAACCCTTCTGCAGTGTCTGGAGCTCCTTGTCCCAACAGATCCTTGGCTGCAGCCCAACCTTACAGCTCCTTACAGGTCTGTTTTCTCCTCTCCCACAGCCTCCAGCTCCATAAGTGTGCCAGAGGATGAGGAAACCGTTGTCAAAACTGGGTGAGAATGTTATTTATTTATTTGTTTAGTTGTTTGTTTGTTTATTTATTTATCCTCACTACCCTGCTTGCAGGTCTTTTTCACTGCCATTCTTGGTGTAAAATCCCAGTGGCTTCCCAGTTTCCACAGTTTTGCTAAGCACAGCCCCTTTTGTCTTTCTTGTTTTTCTAGGCCTCCTCCTGGACCCTCCACCCCCTCCAAACTGGTAAGACTTGGACAGAGATTAAAAGCATTTGTGCCTGTGTGGATTTGGGAGAAAAATGTGTGGAATTACACCTTACTGGGAAATTTGGGAGCTCTGGCTGTGGATTGTCAGACTTTGTCACCTGTCCCCATAGCAGAGAGTGAGGAGGACACAGAGCATCTGGCTGAGAGGTGCATGAGCCCATCTGAGCCTCTGTGGTTCTGGTACTCAGACCAGGGAAAGTCTTAATCACAACACTTCTGAACCAGCAAAACCAAAACCAGCAAAGTTTTGGGTTTTTTTTGGGAAATGAGCACGTGTGACCCATGGCTTTGGGTCCAGGTGTTCTGTCAGAGGGATGTTACAGGCTCAGATGCTTGCCAAGATTCTCTGACTTTCCTCTGTCATTTTCCTAAATCTGTTGAAATTGTTGCACAGCACCCTGAGCCTGACCTCAGGGTTGAGTCCTGCTTGGCTCTTCCTTCTTAACCTCTTGCTAGAGATCATTGTGTGAAGATTCAGTCCCCAATCTGTACAGATAAAAAAACTTATAGTTCAGGGAAGTTTGGTTCATCTGGTGTCATGGTTTGCACACTGTATTTGTAAAGCTTCTTTCGACCTTTTGGTCAGTTCTGTATGTAGTTCAACACTTGTTAGTTTGGACCCACATGGAAATTTGTGAATATTGTTGAGGTCAAAACCTTACCCTCCACAATCCTCACTGAGGAAGTAATCCTGGGATCATGTCAGTGTTTTGCCCAGAATAAATTTCAGTGAGCAGAGCCTGAATTAATGGAGCAGAACAGTGGCCTGAAGCACTTGTGAAAACAAGGAGAGCTGTTATGGGTGTGCAGAAACTCAAAAAAAGCCAGTTTTTCTAGGCCCTGCAGAAGCAATTGGGGGGGATGAATTCTCCATCAATCCCTTTTCTTCTCTTCCCAGTGCAGCACTGTGAAGTGCTGACCAGGAGGTAATGCTGGTGCTGCTAGGAGAGAGCAATTCCAGAACCACAACCCATTATCCCAGCAGAGCCTAAGTGCAGAGGCAGAGCAGCCATGGGCATCCCATCACAAACAGATAAATCATGGAAATGAGCCATTTGCCTGCTGTCTCCAGGCTCCCCACTCGTCACTGCTCAGGGAAATGGGCATGCTGGCTCTGGCCAGAGCTCCAGCAGCACAGATTTACAGCTTGGAAGGCTCCTGGCCTTAATAGTTGATGAGCTGGTTGAGTTTAAGCAGCGCAGATACTCGTGTTAATGCCCCTGCCTCTGCTGATGATGCAGCATCCAGGGCTTTGCCAGGAGGTGGTTTGGCATTCCCTGGTAATGCTGCTGACTGTACCCTTGTCAGAACCACCCCGTGATGTGAACCAGGAACACTTTCCATGGGTGATTGTCCTGAAACCCCTTTGCTTTTCCCACAGGATTTCCAAAACCCTCGGATGTCCCTTCACTCCCACACAGTCA